TCATGCCGTTGCGGAACTCGACAAAGGTGCCCCTCTTGACGGGGATGTCGAGGTCGGCGATGTAGTGCAGGCAGAAGTTGACGAGCTCCTTGTACCGGTCCTCGCCGATCCAGCGGATGAAGCTGTTGGAGGCGAGCGGCTGGCCGAGCTTGTACGCCGTCAGCCCGTTCTCGGCGAAGCAGAAGTCGAAGAGGGAGGTGACGGGGGCGCCGGCGGGCTTGCCGAGCTGCTCTTCCTGCTTGACGAGGTCGGAGCCGCCGACGAAGCCGATGGCGCACTTTTGGCGGAGGGACTGGAGGAGGAGGAGGATTTCGGGGGAGGCGTCCTTTGAGGAAGAGAGTTGTTTGAGTTAGTGAGACGTGTTATTGTGAACCGTTTGGGACTGGCGATTTGGAGCAATTGGGGGTATTATGGGGTGTAGAGAGGATGAACAGCTGTTTCGAGAGTGGGATTTCGACTTACAAGACGAGCGGGCGTCAGTGTGCCGTCGACGTCGAAGAGGCAGATGGTGTCCTTGAGAGGACGCTCCTCGAGAGGGGGGTAGGAAGGAACAGACATGGCGGGCAATTAATGGCAAATATTGCTGGTTTTCGGAAGAGAAGAGAATAAAGACGATGGATTTATCGGACTGGAGAAGAAGAAGAAGAGCAGGAGGAGGAGGCGGAATTATATGCCAAATTTGGCAGAAACAAATAGACAACAGATTGAAGGTATCCAGAACTTCGCAAATGGGTTCAATTCAAGCGGGATGTCGAACCTGAGGGGTCAGAATCGCGCCGGGCGGTCAAAGGCGAACCTAGTGCGTCCTGTCATTGGCCAGCGGCTCGTGTTAGTGCGCAGGCGCTACCTTATTGGATGGGCTGCGGTGTCCCCTGTGCTCACTGTATTTACAGGCGATCCTTAGGTTAGGTTGTGATGGAACCTCGTACAGGGGAAGCCCGGAAATGATTGAAATGGATGACATGTGGTGATGAGCCACTAATTTCAGCGTACGAGCCACGTTTCAGCAACTGAATTGACAAGTTGGGGCTGTGCTTTGCTGTTGGTGAACAAGGACGGACAAACTATATGATACTGGATACTGGGCGGTTGTCTATTGGCAAAGGCGTTCATGGATCAGTTGATCAGCTGGCTATTGTAGAATTGAAGGATGTCGTAGACATACACAGCCTCTGAAGTAAATGCACGGGTAGGTAGGTATACAAGTAAGGATATCGCTATTCCATGTATACGTGGGTAGCTTGCATCAAAGATAAAAC